AGAAATTCCTGAAGTATTTTTATACTAGCTTTCTCACTTTCTCAAGTGCTGTGAAACTCTTGTAAGGTGCTTCAGGTTTGCTAATTTGAGGAAAGAAAGCAAGGAAGTAGTCTAGCTTTTCCTCCAAAATTATTGCTGAAAAGCAGTATTTTGGACACGCAATATTACATTGCCCAACGAAATGATATTTCTTTCACCTTTTCAGGTTTTAATCCATTAAATGGAGAAATTCTGCTTTCAGAAGACAGGCATATCACGTGCTGCACAACTGGAAGTACATTACCAACAGCAGAGCTACATAATTCACTTGCTGATTCAGGAGTGACAATCGATGCTGAAAATTCCACTACCTTCTCCCAGACTGTGAAAATGAGGATAGAGTATTCCCAACCGGTGAACATACAGGGACCAGAGATGGCAGGTGAGGCATCTCTGCTACACACTGAAGTTGTATTGCCTGTTGAAGCACACGGCTCCCCTGAATTAGTTCAAGCACACTTTGTGAGTGAGAATGCAGCAGGTGGACTGTCACCTCCTGAACTTTGCAAGTCCGTGTCGGAGAACGCAGTGGGCAGTCAGAGCACTAATTTACCAACGAGTGAAGAAAATAGTCACAATCAAAAATATCAGGAACTGCAAGAAGAAAACCATAACTTTGAAATTAAAGAACATTCTGAACAACTTCATAATGCTGATATGACTGATGAGATGCAGGAACTTGAAGAAGTTTTTTCAGCAAACATTGTGCCAATAAACTACCACAGTGCTCAGACTGAGTCGCATCAGAACCCTGTCCAAGAGGCCTCCCTGTCTGCTCCCATGAACCACGAAAACTCTTTCAAAAACATGACTGAATTTTCTTGTGGGACAGAGGAACAACATGAGCTGGAGAATACAGTTACTGTAGATGAAACTGTCGCCTTTGAGATTACTGATGAGAGCCATGATTTTTTGTCTCAGGGACATGAACAGATTTTTATTCAGACTTCAGATGGGCTTATCCTGTCTCATCCAGATGCTGCTGTTTTGTCTCAGGCAGAAGGCATCGTTATTGTAACCGATTCCAATGGTACTACAATGCACATTCGCACACCTGAGGGGATACCTCTGGAAACCGTGGAAGCACTACTGGCAATGGAAGCAGATGGCCAAAGTGAAGATATTTTGCTCTCGCAAAGTGAATTGGAGCCATAAAATAGAAAACGGTATATGCTTTCTTCTGGAAAAGATTGAGTCTATAAAATGTATATTTTTCTAATGTGAATACTGAAATAATTCAGATTTAACTTATTTGTAAACTGTTTCTATGCCCTGTACTTTTTATAACTTAAGTTTATATAAATCTAGCAGCACCGCAACCAAAAATTCTAGAATTAACATCATTCTATTTGCTTTATATGTTGGGGGTGGGTGGAAAGTGGAAATCTGTCAACCCTAAAACTGTTGCACTATTCCCTTTTGTTACGTAATTCCTTTTCTCTCTAGCCATCTGAAAACGCAGTAAGCTGTACTGCTGTTCAGCAGTGATGTGCTGTGTACTGGCAAGCTGTATATGGGTTAAATAAAAACTGTATTAAAAATGTGTTTTTTCTGTGCCATTGAGATTACAAAATGGTTATTGTACTTTCTTAAAGCTAGCTTGAATATTCATTAGCAGCTAGGCTCAATGCACGTAAATCTGCCTGGAAAAATGGGCAGTTTTAAGTATAATCCACACTTGTGCATTCCAGGAACAATGTGACAGCCTAGCTGATCCTTACTTAAATAAGCACCCACTGAGTTAGAGACAAAAATAGCCTCAAACAAGATCTGATTTGTACTGAACTGTTGGAAATGTATTTTATGTTTGTCTAATGTTCAGCCACACCTTTAAAAATTGCTGTTACTTAGACAGAAATGAGAAGGTGTGTAAGTAGTGATCTGATTTTCTTTAATGAGATGCCAAATTCTTTTTTTAATTTGGTCTATGATGGTCTATTTTTGTTAGACTTGTACTTTTTTCTTTCAGATGATGCACCCTTTATCAGTTCTAAGCTTTGACCTTCCTCGTAACTCCATGCTGCCTTGTACTATTTAATCATAATAAAAAGGTATCCTTGACTATAATCCCTGTTTCTCTATGCAGACAGAAAACTTTACCACATTACTCACCTACTGCTATCTTGTATTTTTGTCATACTTCACTATCTTGCTTGGATGATAATATTTTTGCTAGGAGACTTCCTAGCAGCTTCTTTTCCGAGGCACTGTCTGTTCTTTCAAGAAGCTTACCAGGTGAAAAAGAACAACCTTCAATGACCAGTATCTTTGTTTTCTTCATGAGCTATTGTAGACATTACTGAAAACTGGTAAAAGTTCCTTGAAAATGTGTCAACTCATTGCTAAATGCATGAGGCTACTCGGATAACTGGATGAATCAGCTAAAATGACCTGTAATATCCAAGAGAACTGTTCTTAAGTATGAACATTGTTTCATCTCTAAATTGTCCTCTCTCTTGTTTAGATTCAATTTTAGTGTAAGCTTTTCCTCAGTAACAAGACCATGAAAAATCAATCTGCTCTATGATCTCTCTTTAACATGGTTTTGGTCTTGTTTGTTTATTTTTTGCTGTTTTTTTTTCCCCTTGGTTGCCTAAGTAGAAGATTAATTTGATTAGTCAAAACACTGCATTTTATGTGTGGATGTGAAAGATGTCATCATATGTTAGTGAGCTCCTGTCTGGTGGTTAGGTTAACAGTGTAGTTTTAGTTTTATTTTTTCCCTCCTCTTTTTTTAGGACGTGGTAATGGTCAGAGGATAGAGGCCTCCCTTATGAATAGACACCATACAAGGCACGGTTCTGCTAGTCTTTCAAAGTCTTTGATTGCAGTAAGCAATTCTTTATTACATTCTTTTGTACTCACTGTCTAATAACTACATCTGAGGGCTTCAAATACAACAATCAACTGCTTAGAGCTATAATGGCAAAACACCTCTGCAGTGATTTTGCTGTAATCCTCCTGTGTCTGATAGCAGTCAGTGAGCAAAGCGGTCTGTGAACATGAAGACTCCTTCCTGAAGAGCTTATTTCCCCTAAGAAACAAAAAACCACAATTTCCACCTGTGCAGAAAGCGAAAACCAGCTTCAATTCTGCCTTCCCTATTGATTTGCACATGCTGGGAAACACAATACACCTACGCTCATCTTAAAAGAACAATTCCATAAGTGAACCAACCTTTTCTCCTTGGATTTCAAGTATGAAGGTGTTTCCATAGTGACAAGGGTGTGACCCTACTCAGATAAATTAAAGTGGCTGTTAAACTAGGTGGAACACTTTTACAGAAGAATAATAAACCCCAACAAAGCTATTCATAACTGATTGAATTCTCCTTGAGCTACAGCAGACCTTTTTAGACACTAGAAATTTGGGGTAAGAATAGAACGCTATTAAGCTCTCAGAAACAACCTCACTCTTGAACAGAGCAACATGTTGAGAAAACTTTGCCAATTCATGTCTGTCTGTTCTGTTATTACAGGAAACTCATGTATTTTCCTTATCAAGCTTATGAGATTTCAGCTTGGAACTAGTCAAGTGTCCCTACTTTTCCTATCAGAAATCTCTTCCAGAATGTCTCACTGTTTTAATTAGATTTTTCTAAGCCACAGCCGTTACGGTCATTTCATAGCAGTGTGCGTTTTGTGTCACACTCTTTTAGTTCAAATAGTTGTTTCAAGAAGAATCAAGGGTGAATCTGTCAGGGCACAACAAGGAGTCAATAGCACTTAGAAACACTACGTAATTGTGTGAAATAGACCTAAATCAACAGTTTATATAGGAGCAGGTCACACAAGCAATTAGCAAGTGGGAGAAATTTAGATTATTAATCATAGTGAAGTAAGCAGGTGGCCTAAATTCTCTACACATTAAGAGATTTAGCTAAAACTTGGATGACACAGCTGCATAGTTTCCACATTGTAATACACTTTTCTGAAATTTGCCACTAACAGTTACTAAAGGCTGTGTGAGTGCAGCAGCTGCTCCGGGCTACCCTGACATAACGGTATGCTACTGTGATGATGATGTCTTTAGGAGTGAAAGCACATAAGGGTATTGAATTCCACTTCAGCATTTAGCTTTTGCATTAAATTTTTCTCCTGAACACATTCTCTACTCTCTTTTCCAAGCAAGCAGCATGAAAAAGAAAAGCAAGAATTCGAGCCACCTATTCTTGTCATGTAAACAGGTAACCAAAAATACAGAGGGGGCACACCTTTAAAGCAAACCCACTTGTAATCAGAAACAGTAATCCAAGGAAAAACTCACTGAGCCCTATGACAGGGAGCCAACAACACAGGATAACGACATGTCTGAAACAGGTCCTGGTTTTATTCAACAGATGCCTTCATGAAACATCTTTAAAAGAAAAACGTCACAACGAATTCAGAGACCTTACCTTTCCATATACCGACTGTGGAATGGTGAGTTGTACTAAACCTTCCCAGTGTGCTAGCTCAGGTTTGGATCACTCTTCAAGGGTGATGCACCTAACCACACTATAATCAAAACCAAACCAGAATTTACACTGGTGTCTGTGACAGCATTTCAGAACCACATACCAAACTGCGTGGATCATTTCAGACCCCCTATGGGATCTTGACTTCTGTGCTTTCCTTTCCTTTTCCCCATTTATAAAGCAAGTACAAAAGCACTAGCCCTGTTAAGTCATGCAAAAAAAAAAAAAAAACAACCTCCACGAAAGATCAAGAAGTGCTGAATATCTATGGTGAAAGGGACAATGCAGGTGGTTTAGACTGTCATGACTTGGAATGTAGTTAGATTCTTTGCTGTAGGTGTCTATGTGCACCGAATCCCCTCCAGACCACCAAGTAGTGCTTACCTCTTTCTGATTATAGGGGGGACAGCCTCCTACCTGTAGCCTCTCTACTGCACTTAAAACAGATAAAGCAACCAAAACCAGATTGTCCCATGCAGAAAAAGGAGTATCAGCTGAGACAAAAGAATAAATACAAATAGAGAAAAATATTTTTAATAGGTTTTACAAAAATTTAACCTACTTGGTAAGCCTTGCATTTGCCATTTCAGTTTCATGTAAGCATCATTAGGAGCAAGTCATGTAACATTTGGAATTCTAGCACTGCCTATGTCCTGTTTCCAGCAGCATGGCTTCAAGCAGTAGTTTGCTGCTGTTCTCAATGTAAGGCTGGTATAACCATGATGATAAATAGACCATCATCAGATCACGGTCAGCAGAATGAGCAATTTCTTGTACAATTGTTTGCTTGAGCTGTATCTCCTTCTTGTACATTTCAGAGAGCTTCAGAGAAACCTCATCTGAAGTGAATTGAAAAACAAAGCACATTGACCAGACCATTTCAGCAATTCTCTAAAAGTTAAATTACACTTGTAATATGCTGATCAATAAAATCCCCCTACCTTACATAAGCTATTCCTTATATTTAGATATCTCGGTTTTTACAGCATTAATAATATTTGTATATTCAAATATAAAATGCTAAACAATTTCCTCAGCTTTTGGATACATTTTACACACTTATGATTTTGACATGTCTCCTTTTAATTCTAGAATAAGCAGTGGTATTGATTCTCAGGTCCCACTGTAAAATTATCAGTTACAGCTATGCTTTCAAATAAAATTTGGTAACACTATCCTGAAGTACGAGCTTCACATTTTAGAGTCACTGTTGATTTTAGCTAATCTAAAGGATGCCCTCACATGCTGTCAGGCACTTCAGTAATGCATGATCACCAACGAGTGATACCAGCAGTGAAAAATAATGGTAAAACAAAACAACAGACCAAAACTGAAGCGTGTAATGAAAAAACTAATACTGTTACTATGTACGTTAGTAATACTGGTTGAGGGGTTAAAATGTATCTGTGTAATAATCTTTAATTGTGTGACTTTCTAAAAAATAACCACACAAATTATTTTTAAAGAGAGACTGATTTGTGACTGATTGTGTTTCTAACTTAGCCTGAACTCTCACTACCTTCAGGAGGATTTAGTCTTTGCTGGAGTAGAGAGCACTATTAAATGATTCAGTCACGACGAGCGGTTTGACAGCAGTTGTCCTTGTCATTCTTACCCTTTTAAGCTGGCAGAAATTAATATATAAGATTCCTGCTATCTTGTGACAGTGAAGCAAGAAGCAGGGCTTCACAAAGGTATGAATTTCACTTCACAAACAAGGCAGGTGGTTTGCATGCAACCAGGCTTCTCTTTAACTCAGTTTTAAAACTGTGGTACCACCAGTGGGGAGGCAGCAGCTTTTGCCATCAAGTGAACGCTGAAAGGATCAATATTAACAGTAGACAGCAACTGAACCTTTCTGTACTTGTCTTGCCTGACACTGAGGTCAGAGGTATTTTTCTCTGGCTGCCTGAGAATTAACTGAGGTATAGCGTGCCCTTTGCATGCAAGAATTTCATTTCAGTGCCAAGTAACAAGCCAGGTCAGTTAAGCCTACAGCTTAACGCTACCAAGTTGCAAACATGTCTCTCCCTACAAAGGATGTGGCTGTTGCAGCTCGGCCACTGTAAGCTGCTGACAAGCTTAGTTTTGTGCTGCAATTGTTGCACGTCAGCCAACGCTTAGCAATTCATACAAGCAGTCATCAGCAGTAACCCTAAGCCAAGCGGTGCATTCATGTGTTTATTGATTAGTCAATTACAAAGGAGACAGATACACACTCACTCTCCCTAAGGCAAGACATCCAGATAAAAGGGTTTATTTTTCAGTCCTAAATTAGATGACATCAATGACACAATGCAATTAGCTAAGATAATCAATATTTTACTTACAGAAGTATGGTGTGGGCCATGTATGAAAGAAGGGTGCTGTGCAATTCCCAGCTCCATAGTGGAATCTTTCCAAGTCACAGATTGCTTTAGTAGTCGAAGTAAGCTTTTCCATTTTCAGCTGTATTTTTGTCTGAAAATGATGAACATCTAATGTTAATGAACATCTCAGGAACGTTAGGCCACTATAATCTGAAACTTTTTTTAAAAATACACTATTTCTGAAGATTATTTAGTCCTCACATTTCTAACTCACTTTTTTTTTTAACTCCAGACAGGAAACAAAACTGGAATTTATATAAAGATTTAATATGACATACCCTAAAATTTTGAACACTGCAGCTACGACTTACTGACTCTGATTTTGCAGTTCTTCTATTTCCCCCCTGTAGAAATATATTAAAGCCCTCTCTCATTTTTTCATGTGTCTCTGGGTTTTTCCTATAGCAATTTAGTACTGGGGAAAAACATCAGACTGTTTATGAACAAGTGTGGCATAAGTTCTACAAACACACGCCTTCTTGCATTATCATGTCAAGATGACTTAAATTTGATTTCAAAAGATCAGCAGCAGGTAAGAAAAGCAGCTCACACTACTACTGACAATATATCTAGGCTGATTTAACAGCTTGCTTTGAAAAACAGGTCATTCCATCCACTTCATGTTCACCTGACTAGGTGCATTACTGATGGGGACTAATATTTACAACAAAATGGAGCTTGCAGGCAGTATCTTTAAGTCAAGAAGCTAAAATACAGATATTTCTATGAACTTATAAGCTGGTACAAACTCCTAAGGAATGAAAAATAAAATATATCTGTAGTAGCTATGTCTAGTATCCAGTGTAACACTGGCTGTTCCTGTTACTCAGGAGTAATAAAAAATTGCATCAACACACTTAGTAGTCTGAATACAAAAGGACCTTAACGAAAAAAAAAAAAGAAAAAAACCCAAATTACTGTTACTTTTTCCCATAGAACACAATTTGAGGAAGAACTAGCTGCTTTCCTGCTTATTCTAAACACTGGACTGGTATCCTATCTGTATAAAAAAATAGATCTGTATCTTTTTAATGGGCCTCCACTTTGGCAGAAGGCTGTAAAAATTATTTTTAATATGAATTTTAAGTTACAGCATCAGGCAAAAAAAAATACTCTTTGCTTCCTGTCAAAGTGACAGGGGACATTAACTCCCAGTGATGTATCCAGAAAAAAGATAGCTTACATAATAATTATTTTACTCTCCTCTCTAGAGCAAGAGTTCTGCACAGAAAATGCAGGTAGGCAGACTAAAAGTATAACTGCATTATGTCTGATCAAAGATAGCTGCAAGGATACGATGGCAGGTAAAGCACTGCTTTATGCTCTGTTGTTTGTTTTGTTCTAAACAGAGGGAATACTCAGGGTAAGAAAACAGAAAACCGGTGCCGTTCTAGAACGCATTTTTTGTACCAGGCATTTTCAAAAGATCACTTTATAAAGGGAAGAGCAGAATTATAAGCAGAAGGCAGATGTGAAACTAACTTTTAAATTTATCAATTAAACATATAAATGGTGCATACTAGATTTATTGTAATTTAGGTTTGAAGCTAAAGAATGACGAATAAAAATCCCAATTTTCTGTTTACAACAAATACTTGAGGACACTTCCTTATGTCATACTTGAACACGCTTGGAATTGATTTATATTGACTATGAGCACTACCATAAGCTTTAAAGTCTCAAGTAATTCTCCACAGCAATTGTCCAGTTCTTCATTGTATTTTGGAGTTGGCTTTTCAGATTCTGTGGCATTGTTATCACACGCTATCTCCAGTTTGTCGTCTTGAAATCTAAAATAGAAACACAAGGCAGAGTAAACAACTGTATATAGGTTTACTTGAGCTGTACAGATTTAAAATCCATGTGGTTTGATCCTACAAAATCTCTCTCACAAACTATTCACAAGAATTCCTACACAAAAATATTGAGAGATATAGCTAGCCATGTGAGCAATTGGGGCTGGTACCATAATTTTCAGAGGAACACAGAATTACTCTACCTTAGAGCACATGCTTGAAAAAACAGTTGCAGGCGTTAAGATAACACTTTTTCGCACTTTACCTTGCTCCTGTGTTGGAGGTTAATCTCTCATAATGGACAAGGTATGCCCAGGCTTCAGCTGCTCCAGCTGACAATCTGCTGCCTCACCACAAACTCACCTTCATGCACGATTTAAGCTAAGACACTTAACTGTGAACCCAGAGCTAATGTGCAGACATCCATCCTGTCTTGATGACTTTCCCACAGAAGCTGAAAACTTTGACAGGGGAGAGGGAGTTTCTAGAGAGCAAAAGCAACATCTGACACTGTTACAGCAAAATATTCCTGAGCTTGTACCTATCAGAACTCTGTCAGATACACTCTGTTCAGCTGTCAGGACTCTGGAGAAGTTTCTTCTCAAAACCCTGTTAGTTACAGGTTTTTCCTTACAGCAAGAAGATAATAGCTCTATCTAACTGTTTTATAGGTTTGGGGTGAGATTTTTTAAAATCGTTACTGTTACAATTTTTTCGTCTACATAAATAACTGATTCTTTCTTAAAATCTGCCGAAATTTTATTTTAGTGAAATTTGGTGATACTGGCCTCAGTAAATATGCAAGAGAGTAAGGTAACTCACATGGGCTGAGATCTATAGGATTAGATTCTAACTTTGTATATTATGTAAATATTTAAAATATCTGCCATGCTTATCTATGCATAATAATAAACATTTTGCATTTCTTGCAAACGTCATTACTTGAATGTAAATACTTTATGTAACCAAATAGTGCAACTGCTGAATTTGATCTAAGAGTTAGTTTATCCCCTCTGACGCGTCCTTTCCCCCATCCCCAAAAAGAACTTTCTAGTGAAGAAAACAGATTAATCTCTCAATTAAGGCAATCTTTATGCTGTCTTTACTTGTATGTGTTATTAGCGTACTTACTGCTCACTGATCTTCATGTTGACTATTTTGTTTGCTGTAGTAAATCCATTATCATTCAGTCTCTCCCATTTCATCATTAAATTATGCCAGTCTGCTGCATTATCTTTAATTTTTCTTGCACTGACAGATAAAAGAGGTCTTCTTGGAGTACCATCAGCAGGACTTTTTGCTGTATGAGAAAGTAAAGAAATTCAAGCCATTTAAAGCACATAGAAACAGATCAGTGTGCTGCCTGGCAGCTGTTTGTGTGAATGATTTCCCTGCTTTACTGCTGAATCATAGAATGGTTAGGGTTGGAAGGGACCTCAAAGATCATCTAGTTCCAACCCCTCTGCCATGGCCAGGGAAACCCTCCACTACACCAAGTTGCCCAAAGCCTCATCCAACCTGGCCTTGAACACTTCCAGGGATGGGGCATCTGCAACTTCTCTGGGCAATATTGATTAAAGTAAAACGGAATTTACATTAACTCTCTTCAGCCATGAAATGGAATTCCTCATCTATCAGCCTTGTAACAAGAAAATCACGTTATTAGAAA